CAAGAGGACTGAGAGGGGAGGTTGGGCAGGGAATTTGCTGGCGATGACAGATCCCAGCCTAGCCCTGACAGATGTCCCTGTGAGCCCTTCTCACCTGTCATCTGCCCCAGGGGAGTCACTGAGCTCTGACCGGGGTCCTCTGCCTCCACAGAAACAGCCGTACTGCCCTGGTCTACCCGGATCCGCCTCTGAAGGGCACCTTGTCCCTGCACCTGCTGGGCAGAGGTGGGCTCTGCGCCGAGCGAGAAGGTGCCCCCAGCCTGTGACGGACTGTCCTGCTTCTGGTGGACCCAGGCACATGGTCACAGAACCCTCACTTGGAATCAGCGGGTTGGGCTGAACTGAAAGAGGAAGTCTAGAGAATATTCCTGGGAAGAAGGTTCAAACCCGGATGCTCCCTGGGATCAGCTTTCCGTAGCATCGCCCCTACGGAGCCTGCCAGAGAACCGAGCTTACAACCCCCGATCTGTCCTCCACTGCGGACGTGAGTCAAACAAGGAGAGGGCTGCACAACGGGAGGTCGGGGGAGGGATTCGGCTCCCCGGGCCTGGGTGCTCCAGCCCCTACACAGCCCTGGAAGAGAATCCCTGCTGAGATCGGCCAAAAATTCAAGTTTCCCTTCCCTTCTGGGTGCAATACCATCCTCCACCTTCTCTCTGGGACTCCAGAGCTAAGCAGGGCAGGGGAGGAGATGTGATTCTGCAACCACTGGAGCCCCTGGCCCTGCAGAGCTCGTCTACAAAGGGATTGGTCCTGCGAGCCAGGTGAGGATGCAGGATGTGGGGAGTGAGGTCCGCCCGACACCACGAGGCTGAGGTTCCACAGCTGCCCTCTTGCAGAGGCCAGGAGGGATGAGCGAGTTTCTCCTCCAGGTCTTTCTTTACCCAGCAGGGAGACTGAGGGGAGGTACAACATCAGGAGGATATTTCAGACCAGACACCTCACTTGTCTTCCACCCATGGCAGTTTTAAGTCTCTACATGATTGGCAATTAGGGCCAAATTATTCTGTTGTGAAGGCTGTCATGTGCCTTGCAGGACATTTACCGGCATCTCTGGTTTCCGCCCACTAGAGGCTTATAGCGAAGCCAGTGTGATCAAAAAAAAAAAAAAAAAAAAAAATCTGAGTAGTCAAGTCCAGAGATACGGAAAAGTTAGTGGTTGCTAGGGCTGGGCTGTGGATACAGAGTAACTTCTTGGTGATGGGATCTCCTTTTGAAAGTAGACAGAGGTGATATTTTCACAGCACTGAATGCGAAATGCCACAGGGTTGCTCTCTAAAAGGGCTCAAAAGGACAATTTGTTATTTTGCCACAACGAATGTCTCTAAACATTGCCAAGTGTCCCCAGGGGGCAAAACTGCCACCAGTTGATGGCCATTGTCTTATTCTATGACAATGGATAGGGTTTCTAAAATTCAGTGCTGGCCAGGTGGTGGCTCACACCTGTAATGCCAGCACTCTGGGAGGCTGAGGCAGGAGGATCGCTTGAGCTCAGGAGTTTGAGACCAGCCTGAACAAGAGCGAGACCCTATCTGTGCTAAAAATAAAAAAAAAAATTAGCCGGGCATGGTGGCGCATGCCTGTAGTCCCAGCTACTCAACTCAGGAGGCTGAGGCAGGAGGATCACTGGAGCCCGGGAGTGTGAGGTTGCTGTGAGCTAGGCTGACGCCACAGCATTCTAGACTAGGCAACAGAGTCAGACTGTGTTTCAAAAAAAAAAAAAGAAGGATAAATTAGGTCCTTTGTGGTATCACTGCCTGGTTGAGTTCAGGCACTAGATACAAAGTATGAAGTTTACCCCATTTGCTCTCCAGCATGTTAATAAAGGCCACTCCGAAAATGCTTTAACTCTTTATTATCCTTGTGAGAGACAACACGTGCTATGAAATGGGACGTGACTTGTGCAGAACCCCCTCTAGACCTCAGAGAAACACCAGTGTTAAATCCTCCACGTTGACACCTCATGTAGTGATTTACAGTCGATTTTCACAAACAAGACGTCTCACAGAGAGAGCACGTTCTCCCCCTTCAGACGTGTAATTCACAGAGAGAACAGGCCCAGGGTGCTCAGGAAACGTAATCAACAGCATGACACTCCAGTTGTCCTGGCCACGTTACATTCAATTGTCAGTCTGGGATTGATTTCTTTTACTTCCTTCAACAGCTTCTGGATTTTCCAATTACAATCATACGCCTTCAGCCTAGAGAATCAGAACATAAAGTATCCCAAAATCTGTTTCAGGACATTCAAAGCAGGAAGTTTTCTGTTTTGTTTTTTTTGTTTTTGTTTTTGTTTTTGTATTGTTTTGTTTTTAAGAATACAGACCCAAAATTAGGGATCTGTTTTTTCTATGACACCTATACGAATATCAGACTAAAGTCTGACAGAACATTGTAACGGGCTCACCACGGCTTCCATGGTTTCTGCAGTTACCAGTATCGAGGGTGAGTTCTAGTCTGGTCTGTCCACGGTTTACCTCTGTAAACATAAACCCTCCTAGCAGTTTATGTGTACCCTGACTTGAATAGGGCAAGCTGCTACCAGCTGGACAGATAAGCTGAGCGTACATGACAAGTGTGTGGCTCCTCTAGATCAGATTAGATTACTTCTTCAGGAAGTGGAGTTGTCCATCATAAATGTTAAAGTGATCTCCAAGGTAAATAAG